CTTAAGATTGTAAGATATGATCCCATTAACCCACAAAGGAAAAGTAAATGTCAACCCAACAGCAACAAAGCCTCGTTCCCGAAATTTCCATATAACATAATTAAATACCTAACGCTCGGTATTAAAATTGATAATATTTTCATTTATCAAGTTATTTCATAGAGTCTAAAAACATCGTTTTAATACCTATTTTTGAATGTCGAAAAATTATCATAAATGACAAGGCATTTTCATTTTTAGAGTCATTACGAACGTAGATACAATTTTTTCCATTTTGATAACTTAATATCTTGAAGGTTTCAATTCGTGTATGGAGTTAGAAAATGGAATGTTTCTAAGCGACGATCAAGTGAAGCTCCAAGTTTTTGCTGAACGCCCCATTAGTCTGCATCTGGGCGTGATAGATTATTAAAGCATAACTACACAGAGTATATACTGAACAATACATATGGGACACCTTTTTATGTATTTATTATACGACAGAAAATAATAAATAGGCATTCTCGGACCTAGGGCAAAAACTTGATAATGGTACCCCTCTCCAGCACTATGAGATAATGTATCTCTATTTAAAAAAGACTCACACAAATACATATAAGGGGAGGACATTTTTCTTCTGATTAATAGCTAATGATACCGAATTAGGTATTACAAAAAAAAAATTGATATATTTTAGAATTATTAAAAGTATAGGTATATTGAATCATTTATTGAATTCGCACATATACAAGGACAGGCCACTCTGCCCTAATCTTTATTCATTATGTATTAACATAGATACACCCTCGGTGGTTCGTGACTAAGATTAATGATCCAGACAAATTCCCGATCGCGGCTAACCATGCCGATGGCGCTTTTCGAACATTGATTAATACTTAAGCTCGCCGAGAGATGGCGGTGACGGTATACACCACACCGATCATTTAATCAATCTACCGCAAAGTTCAAACAAAGTGCTGAGTTGCGTGAATTTTTGGTTACCAGGTACTTAGTAGGTAATTATCTTAATTAATTAGTCTAAAACTATGTCAAATTACAAACAGGATACTGTTTGTAATTTGAAAAAGATTTTCGGTTAGATTATTAGAATTTTTGAAATTCCTATTATATTTATTTAAATGTATATATTATTTAACACTACAACAGATAACTGATGAGTATCTTTAATATTAATTGCCCTTCAATAAAATACATTTATATTTTCCAACATAATCATTTAAATACTCCTCTACTGCATTCAATTTAAAGCTCTATTGTAACAAATCCAATTTCCCAGCGACATGTCCTTGCATTTAACACAATTCGCTACTACTAACTGTATATAGCGAATTGTGTTCTAACACAATGTCTTGTATCTATACAAGACACATACTCTGTATATACTTGGGTAGGTAAACGTAAATAGATTCAAACTAATCAAACCAACTGAGCTCAATTGAAATCTACCACTAAATCAAGTAAAGGGTTTTGTATAACCTCCCACTACATTTCGTACATCAAGCAATCGACTAGTTAGGATAATTCATTGATGGTAGTGTTCTTTCAGTACCTTATTTGACTAAATTCCACTTTCTGGTTATTTTTATAACACTTTTATTCTTAGCTAGTTCGAATGTACAAAGAAAATAACATCTAAATAAGAATAATTAAAATTAATTTACTTATAAATAGGAAATTTTAGTTTTATGATTTGTATTGTAGCATAAAAGTATAGCCTACAACCGTCAAATGTAACGCCAAAGTATAAGAAATTTTGTAACATAATTAGCTTAATGACCGAGTTACTATGTCTTTCAAGTGTATAGGTATCTTTAAATATGTATTATGTGTGGTTTTTTTTTATTTGTATACCAAATACTACTTATTTAAATACCTAAAACAGATAAAAAAGGTTATATTGAATCATATTGAAGCTACTCAACCATTTGGATTGAATGGTCACCTACACCTAAGCCGTTATGCTATTATAATGAACGCTAGAATTCTTGTGTTTGATACGGCGGGGTCAAACTCAAAATTATAGAAGGCTAAAAATTACATTTAAACCCGAATAAAAAAAAAAAAACCATTCTGAATTAGTAAAAGAAAAGCGTAAATAATCAACACACTCGCTAATCTTCGCTCGCTCTCACGCTACTCTTGAAATTACTTATAATTAAAACGCGCGAATTTTTAAACTTCCGAAGAGGCTTTGGGTACAGTCTAAAATGTAAAATGTTTTGTTTTGTGATCCCGGGCCGGATTAATATATGTCGCTTGCGGGCCATAACTTTAACATGACTGACCTAGACTACTATTTTTGATATTTACGACAGTTTAAGACTTTTTATACATCTTTGTTTTAGGTGCAAAAGTTTTCAAAATACAAAACGCGGAGAAGTCTGTCGCATACCTGGATGTACGGTAACGCCATCTGCCAGCGGACAGCTAACACCGATTCGCATGCCACACGTCCAACCTGAGACATTCCGACTCTTTATTCAGTACGTGTACACAGGAAAGGTAATTGTGAAAAATACCTTCATGTGAAAAATAACAATTCTTATTAATAAAATTTATGATTAGGTCTAATGAAATAATTTCAATCTTAAAATAAATAAAACAAGACTGTCTAGCGCGATCTATTGGCATAATGTAGAAATGCGTAACAAGTAAGTTATTATTTTATTTACCGAAACATAAATAAACACTTCCTTAACCAAATATTACAAATATGTCATTGAGCAATAACCTAAGTTACAAAATATGGTAAAAATTTACGTCTTATTTTCTGAATGAAATAAAGTGCATAATTATTAATTCTGCCATCTATCGACACTGTAGCATACTACAGTGCACAATAACAAATGCAAGAATATTTTTTCTTTTGTGAAATAGTAGAAAATAGAACTAAATGACGATTTAATAATATTAGCTTATTTCATTAGATGTCACTTTACAGTTGTTACTACAAGACTCTGGCGTGTTTGAAATGATGACTCTAGCAGCTGATTTAGGAGTTGAAGACCTCCGAGCAGCATGTGAAGATCATGTAACATCAACGTTAAGCGTGGAAAGTGCCTGCACTCTTTTAGCAGCAGCAATGGAAATACAAGATAGACCCGGTTAGATCTATTCAGTAATTTCAAAACGCTATTAGAGTGCGATGGTGGTGTAATGGTCAGCATAGTTGCCTTCCAAGCAGTTGATCCGGGTTCGATTCCCGGCCATCGCACATTTTTGAAAATCTTGAAAACTTACTGCGATAAAAATTTATCATTTGTCATCAAGTTTCTTCTTTTATTAATGGGTTTTCTACGCATTTCGCACATTTCTCTCAATGACAAATAAATTCCCTTTTTCCAAAAGTCTCTTTTTACACTTGAAACAATGTAGACGAATTTGACTGGTATGACAAAAATACTATTCGAAGTAATTTGTTAAAAAGAGAACAATTATAATTTGAATTTGAAGTGTCAAAAGGGACCTCTTAGTTAAATACTAACCTGAGACTAATTTACAGTATATTTACACTGTTTTGTTAAATAGTGTGCCGTCATAATTTTATCAAGCTACATCAAAGAACTTAAACTCAGTTTAATAATTTTTTTGCAAAATAACAAGTCCCTTTTAGACATATGTCATCGGACCGTATCGTACATACATTAGAGACGCATCGTACAATGTGTAATACCGATAAGTTTGTGTGATGTGTGTGTGTGTGTGTTTTTTATATAATAAAAAACACGTTTCCGTGTTAAAATACTTATGCTTAAGAGTAAAAACAAGATTATTCGATAGGGTTCAATAAAAATATATATTAGTGTTTACAGATATTTTTAAACTACGTATCGCACACTTCTTTTTCTACTGGCAACTAGGGATGATCGATATTAGAAAAACATCGATGTCATCATCATAAGTCCAACATCGATGTTCGATAATTATCGAAAACTAAACATCGATGATTTTTTGCAATAATTTACAAAGAAATAAAATACAGTGAAATCTATCGAAATTTATTAAGAAACAGAACAAATTATTACATACCCCAATGTTTTTTATCAACTGATTGAAGGAAAATTGATTTTGATAAGCAAGAACCTTTTAATTTATTTTTTTATTGATAAAGAGTAGAGCCAGCCTTTGTAAACATGTATGTAAAATATGTATTTTAAGATATGTATGTATTACATACATAAAAATTCATATGTATTACATGGAAAAAAAAGAATCTTCTTGAACCTTTACACCTTCATTGCGAAACAAAAGCAGCAAGCAGTTAGTATCGTAATCTTCTTACAGGAAACTTATTTATTTTTGTTCTCAAATAACCTATAAAATATAAACAGTCGTTGAAGTACATTATTGGTTAAATTACTTCAAAAGTACTACTTTACTGGGCAAAGAAATAGTAAGTCAAATAAATAATTTATCATACCTGTGTTTTCGATTCCGAAGTTTAATTATTATTATTTACAAAATTGAGCAACTTAAATTCACGTATTTCACTTTCGCTTCGCACCTGTCTTAGTCTCACAAGAAAATCACGCGAGAGATGCGAGAGAACGAGCGCAACGAGCATAAAGCAAATTATAGAGTTCCAAAGAGCGCTGAACTTGATAGATTTATTTTTGACTTCCTTGGAAAATGCGAGCAAAGAAAAAACTATTTCTTTGGTTACTCCAGTTACGAGTGCAACCGGTGACAGATAATCTAGCTAGTATATCTAGAGCATGTTAGATGACCCTAAGGTTATATTGATATTTTATTCGTAATCGCCGATGTTTGGCTACAAAATTTCGATGTGCCGATGTTATTGAAATTAAAACATCAACGACAAAACATTGATGTTTTCTAGCTGAATATCGATGTTTATTCAACATCGATGAATATCGACCATCCCTCCCTACTGGCAACATTGTTTTTGACAACGATTAGCGGGGACGCTTGTAGCCTAGCCGGTTTTTCAGCGGGTTTTATTTCGTTAATCGTACTTGTTTGTAAAACTATAAATAAATATGGCATATAAAGGCCCACCGAAGGTTCAGAAGGTGATGGTACAGCCCATCAACCTTATCTTCAGATATTTGCAAAACAGAAGCAGAGTACAGATTTGGTTGTATGAAAACGTGAATTTAAGAATCGAGGGACACATTGTGGGATTCGATGAATATATGAACATTGTATTGGATGACGCTGAGGAAGTTCACATGAAGACTAAGAACAGGAAGCAGATTGGAAGAATAATGATGAAGGGCGACAATATAACGTTAATCCAAAACGTTAACCCAAATGCTTCTTCGTGATAGGTTATAAAACTCAGTGAAGTGATATTTCATTCCTAGCTTGTAAGTGAGTGTATCGGTAAACACAAAAGAAGAGTTCTTATTTTGTTCAATTTGTCCTCATTAAAGTATTTAAGGTTCATATATTGACTTTTATTTCTCAAAAATATCAGACAAATTATGAGTAATTGTTGAGTCTTCTGTTAAATCTAAAAAAGGTATATTAAGTAATTGATTAATAATTTTCTAAATAGGTTAATTTTGCTGTTTTTGTTGGCGTTGCCATTAAAATCATTCACCTTACACTTAATTAACATAATAAAATTAATTAAGTGTAAGGTGAATGATTTTAATGTTTGTATTTGTGTTATATTAAACAGAACAAACTGCATTACTTGATAGGTAAATTTTTTCAGCTTATAAATTGTTCTGTAATTGAATTGTAATTGACCTTGTCGTCTTCCTTTATTATTGTACTGTTACAGGATGACCTTATGAGGCATTGTGAAAAGAAATCAACATTTAAAATAATAAAATAACGTTACTAATTAAGAGCAGCTGCTGTTCATTTATTTTTATTTAATGTTAAACAGTGTCTAATAAATTGAAAAATAAACTTTTAGATAAGTCGCACAAGACCATATCATGTCACATGCACATAGCAATTGCTCTATATTAAGTAACAGTTCTAGTCAAGTAACAGCATGAACACCATTATTTTAGAAATGTAATGAAAGTAGGAAATCATTGGGAGAATCATCTTACTTGACAATCTTCATATTAATCATTACTAAAGATGACAAATAGATTTAATAAAATAATTAACTATATTGGCATACCATGCAATGTTAAAAAACTAAGGTCTCTTTGGCTCTTCACTTTATGTATAAGTAGCACAAATCATATAGTTTCTTAGTTAGATAGATAAATTATTAATTTTTGCCAAAATACACACACATACTTTTGTAATGGTTTGATTTATTAAATAGTATCATAAACAATATCATATTGTAGTTTAGAACTTTGCCTCTCATGTTTGCCAAAGTTTTGTATTAATAAACTACGTTTAGTGTTGTGTATTCTTTCTGTCGTAAGTCAAATTGTCTGGACAAAATTAGCAAAACCCATGAATATCAAGATCAGTCTGCCATGTTTAAATTATAAAAACGTCTACCTACACCAAAAACCCTACTGGGTTTCGACCTTGCATTTGCAGGAGGTAAAAGTGCTTCTTCATTCATGGAACGTTGCATCACCTTCATCGGGGACAATGCAGCCGATTGTGTCAAATCCAATGCGTTTCTCAATCTTCCCAAGGAGGCACTTATCAAACTCATCTCATCTGACTTTGTAAGCACCAACACATTTTATAATCATGTTATGTGGTTGATCATTTATATTAGCTTTGGAATTATATTTTTATAAAGTCAATATCTTAATATTTGTTTGTTTATTTATGCATAGATTATATTTATTGAAATGTGATTCCAGTTATGTCTGGAGGAGGAGGAGGTGTGGCGGTGCGCGCTGGCGTGGGCGAAGCAGCGCGCGGGCGTGACGCAGCCCACCGCGCACTGGACCGGGGAGGAGCGCGCGCGGGTGTGCCAACACCTCGCGCCCCTCATGCAACACATCCGACTGTTACTCATCGGTAATAGGACGATACTTACTCAGACATTTTTTTTGTCAGAATCTTTCGTGCGACTCTGACGACGATGATGTGTAAATTAGAGAGATTCTGTGACATCTTTCACTGACATCGTTGGGCAGCAGGATCGCCTTCATCGATGAGGCGACCCTAAAAGTGGTACTGGCTTAGTGGGTTATAGTTAACTGAAGGTGCATTCTTCGTGGATTCATCGTGGAGGACAGACGTCCGTTAATGTTGCAAAAAACAGTCACTCTGACCGTTGTTACATTAAGTTCAAGGGAAACTGTCTACGGATGGGGCGATGTAAGCGCGGGAAGGTTAACAACGACGATTCAAGATTGTCCACAAAAGGTTAAATTTGACAAGTAGAAAGATACTATATGCTTATGTACGCGTGTGTGTGTGTGTGTGTGTGTGTGTAGACAGCGCAGTGTTCGCGGAGGAGGTGGAGCCGACGGGCGCGGTGCCGATGGAGCTGTCACTGGAGCGGTACCGCCGCGCCGCCCTCACCGCGCCCCGCCCAGCGCCCGAGCCCAGGTACGCCCCCCCAACCCCAAACGCCGAGTACTGGTACGCCTACGCCAGTAAGACTTTATTAATTAATTTAGCTACGGCAACTTTTCATAGTAGTGCACGATTTATCATTACCATTAGTGTATAGACAGGCTAACAGAAAACTTAAACACGATGTCCAATTTTATTCTACTACTAGCTTTCGCCAGTGGTTTCGCCCGCACGGACCCTAGGGAAATATTTAGTGGGATAAAAAGTATCCTATTGTCTAAATCAGCTAATACACTATCTGTATACCAAATTTCATCAAAATCCGTTAAGAAGTTTCGGCGTGATTGACGGACAAACATCCAAACAAAGAAACTTTCACATTTATAATATTAATTAATAATAGGATAACTTTCACATTTATAATATTAATTAATAATAGGATAACTTGTTTTTGTAGAATGGCTGTGAACATGTTTGCGGGATCGGTAATCCTCCAACAAGAAAGAAGCGCATTCCAAGCCGTCATAAATAAGTGGTGAGTGATTATATCGCGGTCTGTTTGTTGGGTTAGTACAGTCTGATGTTGTTTCGAATGAAACCTTTAAAAAATCTGTTACGACTGCTCCCTGGCAGGTGCGGCACTCCGAAGCAGTCGTGGCGGCTCGTGTTCCGCGCGTCCACGCACGGGTACTCGGCGCAGGCGTTCCACTCGCACTGCGACGGAATCTCGCCCGTACTCGTGCTCGTACAGGTAATACTGGTGTAGATAGTATACGAAAATAAATCATCATCATCAGCCGTAAGATGCCCACTGCTGAGCATAGGCCTCCCCCATAGATTTCCACGACGATCGGTCCTGTGCAGCCCGCATCCAACGGCTTCCCGCAACCTTTATAAGATCGTCGGTCCACCTGGTGGGGGGCCTACCCACTGAGCGCCGTCCGGTACGTGGTCGCCATTCCAGAACTCTTCTGCCCCAACGGCCATCAGTTCTTCTCGCTATGTGTCCCGCCCACTGCCACTTCAGCTGAGCAATTCTTTGAACAATGTCAGTAACGTTAGTTCTCCTACGGATTTCCTGATTGTGAATTCAATCACGTAGATAGATACCAGGCATTGCTCTCTCCATTGCCCGCTGGGTAACCTTGAGCCTTCTTATGCGACCCGTAGTGAACGACCACGTTTCGCTTCCGTAAGTCATCACTGGCAACACTCACTGATTAAAGACCTTGATCTTGAGACACTGTGGTAATTTGGACGCGAAGATTTTTTGTAGCTTCCCGAACGCTGCCCATCCGAGCTGAATTCGACGAGAGATCTCTTTCTCGAAGTTGGACTTGCCTAGCTGGACTGTCTGTCCAAGGTACACAGAGTACACAAATTTATCTGGAGTGGGTACAACATGGACGTTTGACATGATTTTCCTCTTATCCATGATCATCTTAAGACCCACTTTTTTCTTTCACTCTCACACACGGCGAAAATAAATACATATTATTATTTTTTCTGGTAGTGTTTAATATATTATTATCGATAATCACACTTTTATGCTTATTATATTTATTATGCAGAAACATATTTTATACTCGTAGTCATGTGACCGCATACAGCGCGAGACGTCATGCCCCTTCTTAGTGCGTTGCAAAGTTTTTTTTTTTTCAAACTGTAATTTTTTGAAAAAATTGGACTGCCGGACCTGAAAATTCAGTGTAGTGCACAAGCTCCCTTACTCATATCAGAACTTAGAGAATAGAACGTTATGCATAATACAACGATATTAGTTTCGGAGGGCCATGATTTGTAGCGACGCCATGACAGAAGTTTGCGTTTTCGCCGGAAGATAATAAAGCGAAATTTGTTTTTTGATTTTAAACTTATTAAACTAAAGATACTTTTTTAAAAATACATATTTTAGATATATTTCATATATATCTTTAAAATAGAAATATTTAAAAAGTTGTCTACACTCCTATAATGGTTTTTATTTGTCGTTGTGACACACTCCTGCCTTGAATTGTATATTCTAATATGATAATAATATCAAAAAAGTTGCATCAATTATTTTTTTACCCAGCCGGTAAAAAAATAATTGATGAAACTTTTTTGATACTATATAGGATGCGAAATATTCCATCGGAAAAAGCTTGCATCGCCTTATGTGAACCTTTAATTTTATCGAGTTTGGATTACGGCGATTTGGTATATGGTCGTCGTCTGCTGTGTAGGACTCAGAGGCTATTATAGCGGATTCAGAATGAGTATTGCCGCTTTTGTTTAAATATCCCACCGCGTACTCATGTCTCGCCTTTTAGAAACCGCCTCCATGTTGAATATTTGCTAGATAAATTGACATTCCATATTCGCGATTTGAGAGTACCAAGGCCTGTAAGGCCTCCACTGGTCATCCAAGTGCATAAAACTGTGGCATTTAGGGGTAGTACAAGCGACAAAATGCTGGAAAAATATACTACTACCAGTAAGGCTACTAACATCTTCATTGTCATTCAAAAAAACAAATTATAATCTATTTGATATGCAAAAATTGGGAATCAACTCCAGCAGACGCATGGTGGTGGTTGCTGGTGCTATCTGCCTTTAAATAAAGACAATTGGTTAAACAAACTGTTATATATATTATCTGTATATTGTGCTGTTTGTTGATTTCCTATAATTTATGTGTACTATTGTTTCATGCCCTGACATATATAATCTCTGATAGTAAAATCAATATATAATATCTATTATTCTCACAATTTAAATTTTGCAATTTTTGATTTATTGAATGAATTATTATATTCCATTATAATACTTGTGACATTTTATAATTAAATCCGATTCTAATTTGACTATCATATCAAAGTGACAC